GGAAACGTGTCTGATTGTGTGTTGAGGAACTGAACTAAATAAGTAATGGTTTCCAGCGCTCCTGTGTGGTCTGCGGTCAGCACAACATCATATTTCCTTCCCGCCCCGGCCGACTCAGGACAACTCACAGCAGGTGAAGTCTAGAAGGGATACAGCGGCGGAAACTCACAACAATATCCCACAGCACTGTAAAACAACAATTACTGCTTTTACATCGCCGTGAGGCTTGAGTTAATACAATACAACATAAAGGGTAATTTAATAAATATTATGAAGAACACTCTGTATAATTATGGTTTTTACATTACTGTGAGGGTTGGGGTTGGGTTAGACATTAATACAATTCAATATAAAGGGTAATTTAATAAATAATGAGAATAATACACTGCATAATTAAAGTTTTAACATTACTGTGAGGGTTAAGGTTGGGTTAGACATTAATACAATACAATATAATGGGTAATTTAATGAATAATATTAATAATACTCTATAATTTCAGTTTTTACTTTACTGTGAGGGCTGGGGTTGGGTTAAACGTTAATAAAATACAATTTAATGAGTAATTTTATTAATAAGATGAATAATACACTGCATAATTACTGTTTTTACTTTACTGTGAGGGTTGGGGTTGGGTTAGACGTTAATAAAACACAATATAATGGGTAATTTAATAAATAATGAAAATAATGCTCTGCATAATTACAGTTTTAACATTACCGTTGAGGGTTGGGTTAGACATTAATAAAATACACTATATTAGGTAATTTAATGAATTATATGAATAATACACTGTATAAATATGGTTTTTACATTACTGTGATGGTTGGGGTTGGGTTAGACATTAATACGATACAATATAATGGGTAATTTAATAAATAATATAAATAATACACTGCATAATTAAAGTTTTAACATTACTGTGAGGGTTAAGGTTGGGTTAGACAATAATAAAATACAATATAATGGGTAATTTAATTAATAATATTAATAATACTCTGTATAATTTCAGTTTTTACTTTAGTGTGAGGGCTGGGTTAAACGTTAATAAAATACAATTTATTGAGTAATTTTATTAATAATATGAATAATACACTGCATAATTAAAGTTTTACATTACTGTGAAGGTTGGGGTTGAGTTAGACGTTAATAATATACAATATAATAAATAATTTAATAAATAATATGAATAATACACTGCATAATTACTGTTTTTACTTTACTGTGAAGGTTGGGGTTGGGTTAGACGTTAATAAAATACAATATAATGGGTAATTTAATAAATAATGAGAATAATACTCTGCATAATTACAGTTTTAACATTACCGTTGAGGGTTGGGTTAGACATTAATAAAATACACTATATTAGGTAATTTAATGAATAATATGAATAATACACTGTATAAATATGGTTTTAACATTATTGTGATGGACTGGGGTTGGGTTAGACATTAATAGGATACAATATAATGGGTAATTTAATAAATAATATAAATAATACACTGCATAATTAAAGTTTTAACATTACTGTGAGGGTTGGGGTTGGGTTAGACGTTGATAAAATACAATATAATAAATATTATGAATAATACACTGCATAATTAAAGTTTTTACATTACTGTGAGGATTGTAGTTGGGTTAGACATTAATAAAATACAATATAATGGGTAATTTAATAAATAATATGAATAATACTCTGTATAATATCAGTTTTTACTTTACTGTGAGAGCTGGGGTTGGGTTAAACGTTGATAAAATACAATATAACGAGTAATTTCATAAATAATATGAATAATACACAGCATAATTAAAGTTTTAACATTACTGTGAAGGTTGGGGTTGGGTTAGACGTTAATAATATACAATTTAATTAATAATTTAATAAATAATATGAATAATACACTGCATAATTACTGTTTTTACTTTACTGTGATGGTTGGGGTTGGGTTAGACGTTAATAAAATACAATATAAGGGGTAATTTAATAAATAATATCAATAATACTCTGTATAATCGCTGTTTTTACATTAATGTGAGGGTTGAGGTTGGGTTAGATGTTAATGAAATACAATATAATGGATAATTTGATAAATAATATGCACAATACTCTGTATAATTGCTGTTTTTACAATACTGTGAGGGTTGGGAATTGTGCAGATGTTAATAAAATACAACAAAATGGGTAATTTAATAACATAAAGAGTTCATGTTGGCTTTCGTCTGCAGCTGTATCCCTTCTAGCACCAACTCTCACACCAACCGACTGGGTCACATTTTTCAGGGAGTAGGGTGTCATTTAATCTCACACATTGTTGACACACAAAAGGCAAATCACAGGCAAATGAAGCAAACCTCAGACCTTTTAACTGAATGCAGACGTCTTAAAGCCTCAGCTTGAGGTTTGTGTTGGCTCTTGTTATGCATGTGTTTTAATAAATGAGTACACAAATTCTCCAGCAGGATAGCGCTCCTCTCATACTTCAGCCTCAAGTTCCTGAAAGCAATGACGGTCAATGTGCTCCAGGATTGGCCAGCCCAGTCACCAGACATGAACAAAATCGAGCATGTTGTTTTTATTTAAGTGTTTTACCTTTCTTTTAAAGATTTTCAGTGACCAAACTCTTATTTTAATGAATTTAACTGTTTGATAAAACCATTTTGTTTAAATCCAACAGAATATATTGGCTATATTCGCTCAGAAATAGATACGAATATTACTTTTCAAAAGAGGGAGTAGTCATTTATGCTGAGCACTGCATTTCTATCCTTACATACAAACAAAAACACGAAGTTGCTGTGTTGCCTCACAGCAAAAGTTCGTTAGTTTGAGCCCCCCACAGTCCAAACACATGCGGTATACATAAATTGAATAAACTAAATTGGCTGTAGACTGTGAGTGTGTATGGGTGTTTCCCAGTACTGGGTTGCAGCTGGAAGGGCATCTGCTGTGTAAAAGTTATGCTGGATAAGTTGGCTGTTTATTCTGCTGTGGAGACCCCTAATAAATAAGGGACTAAGCTGAAGGAAAATTAATGAATGAACTAAATGTGAACTAATAAGGACATCACTATTGTGCAGTAGATTGTATCTACTGTAAGATAAAATAAAAAACAGCTCAAAAAGTAGATTTAGTTTATTTTTTATGAACTTTTTTTGTAAATTATCACATTTCTAAAGCTTTTTTGTTTTATTTTCAAATTAAATGTTTAAAGTATGATTAAACCACTAAAATTAAATGAAGTATTTACACACACACACATATATATAGGCTATGTATGAATACTTAAGAAATAATATACTTATTCAATAATATAATTAATAATAATTAAAGTTGTATCATCCATAGTATATATACACAAACTCAAAGCTTGCTGCATTTTGTGAACAATTCACTGAATCAATTTCACGTTAATATATACACTCACTGGCCACTTTATTAGGTACACCTTACTAGTACCTGGTTGAACCTCTTTCTGGCTTCAGAACTGCCTTAATCCTGTCACATAGATTTAACAAGGTACTGGAAATATTGCAGTTTTGCTCCATATTGACATGATAGCATCACGCAGTTGCTGCAGATTTGTCGGCTGCACATCCATGATGTGAATCTCCCGTTCCACCACATCCCAAAGGTGCTCTATTGGGTTGAGCTCTGGTGACTGTGGAGCCCATTTGAGTACAGTGAACTTTATTGTCATGTTCAAGAAACCAGTCTGAGATGATTCACGCTTAATGACATGGTGTGTTATCCTGCTGGAAGTAACCATCAGAAGATGGAGACACTGTGCTCATAAAGGGATGGACATGGTCAGCAACAATACTCGGGTCTGTGGCTTTGACACGATGCTCAATTGATACTAATGGGCCCAAAGTGTGCCAAGAATATATCCTATATCCCTCACACCATTACACCACCACCACCAGCCTGAACCGCTGATACAAGGCAGGACGGATTCATGCTTTCATGTTGTTGATGCCAAATTCTGACCCGACCATCCGAATGTGGCAGCAGAAATCAAGTCACTTAAACCCCTTCATTCTGATGCTCGCTTTGAAATGCAGCAGATCCTCTTGACCATGTCTACATGCCTAAATGCATTGAGTTGCTGCCATGTGATTGGCTGATTAGAAATAGGCATTGACGAGAAGTTGAACAAGTGTACCTAATAAAGTGGCCGGTGAACATGATTATCATACAATGGCCCTAACTTCTAATATTCAATTTGTAATATCAGGCGCAGTAGCAAAGATAATAGCTTTGTTTAATTGTACCTTTCACATCAACCTGACTGATAAACACGAGATGTCATCATTAATTAATGGAAACAAAGTCATTAAATTAATACACATGAGTCGGTAACAGAAATACAGTAAGAGGTAGATCGCTGGGGATTTTAACAGTAGATTCTCTCCGCAACTGTTTTAAAAAATGATGATAATCTCTGACTGGAGTGTTAGGGCCTTATAATAAGCTCCAAAAATAAAACTATTATTTTCAGGACTATGACGTATCTAATGCATATTGATTACGTTACCTGGGTTGCTTAGTAACTTGCTTGAGCGTTCAGATATGCAATGCTATTAAAGGAACAGCTCACCCAGGTAAATGTACCCACTATTTACTCACTGTCAAGTGTTTCCAAACATTTATGAGTCGTTTTTTTCTGTTGAACACAAAATAAGATATTTTAAAGAAAGGTAAAAAACAGGAAACCCCTAGTAAAGAAAACAAAACAAATAGGCTACTATGAAAGTCGTGAAGGTTTCCAGCCTTCTTCAAACTATATTATCTTGTAGAAAAGGAAGTAATACACATTTAGAATATGTAAATGATGATATGCCTTTTATTTCTCGGCGAACTATCATCATGAGTCAAGCTTTTCATTGAAAAAAAGTCTGCATTTGAACCAATCAGCTTTGAGCGTGACCTAGCACGATTCATATTCATAATTCTAGTCTATGATTGGCCATGCGGCCGCGAGGAGGGCGCGGCTAGCTGCGCTACAGTGATGATTATTCATGTTGTTAGGGGAGAGCCCAGCAGCAGCAGCTCGGCCGAAGTTACAGCGAAACTTCCACAACAACATTAATAATGTTTCGCTGAAAAAGATGAGTCGCCAGCAGGACGTCGTGTTGACCGCATACACCAGCAACTCCGAGGCCGTACTGGCGGTTAAAGAGCCGGCGGAGTTTCCAGCAGCGAGGTGAGTTTTCGCGGTAACCCATTTATTTATTACGTTAACGTTACCCAGCGCACTGTGCACTATTTATGGCAACTGTATCTGTAGGCTGTGTCCCTAAGCACAGAGAGCAGCCTAGGTAGACATTATAGGGGGTAAAGTTTGTTTTATAATCGCACATTCGGACTTTCTCCTTTTTTAATATGACTTTAGTAGTTTTCTATATAGTGAAATCGTATTACGGGTGATGGAAATGCTTGAATTTTGTTTTTAGTGTTTGAAAGGTGCTTAGATTTAGAATAAAGCGGTTGACAATGTATTTGTGTTGGCTTTATAATAAGTTGATTCTATTATGTGAGTTATGATGCTATTATTATGATGTTGGGGAAAGTTACTTTTGAATGTAACGAATTACAATATTGAGTTACTCCCCCAAAAAGTAACTAGTTGCGTTACTCAGTTACTTTTCGTGGTAAGTAATGCGTTTCCTATGTAAATGTGTAATTTGCCACACTTGTTAAGTGCTGTAAAAGGATGAAAATGCATCTGGAATGTGCTTAAATGTGTAAGAATGCTGATATTAGCAGACAATGATTATCAAAATACAACATTTGCTGTGTTTCCATCCAAAGATGCAAATTAAAGTTTTGCACAATATCAAGATATGAGAGTAAAGCTGTGTTTCCATCCAATCAGTCAAAGAGAACAAAATCGTCACTTTCTGATTAACTGGCGGCAAATATCAAAAGTTAAAACGTAACCCATTTATTTATTATGTTACCCAGCGCACTCTGCACTATTTATGGCAACTGTATTTGTGGGCTGAGTCCCGCACAGTGAGCAACCTAGGTAGACATTATAGGGGGTAAAGTTTGTTTTATATACCCACATTCGGACTTTCTCTGTTTTTAATATGACTTCAGGAGTTTTCTATATAGTGAAATAGTATTACGGGTGATGGAAATGCTTGAATTTTGTTCTTAGTGTTTAAAAGGTGCTTAGATTTAGAATAAAGCAGTTGAAAATGTAATTGCATTGGCTTTATAATAAATTGATTCTATTATGTGAGTTGTGATACTATTATTATGATGTTAGGGAAAGTTACTTTTAAATGTAACAAATTACAATATTGAGTTACTCCCCCAAAAAGTAACTAGTTGCGTTACTTTTTGTGGTAACCTATGTAAATGTGTAATTTGCCACACTTGTTAAGTGCCGTAAAAGAATGAAAATGCATCTGGAATGTGCTTAATATGCCAAGTTTTTTGAGTAGGCTTGTATTTTACAGTGCTTAAAAAATACTCAAAAATGTCTTCATCAGTGTTGTCAAACTATTATATTTGATTTACCAAAGTCACACAAGTGGCAATTTCACATCCGTCACATCCATAACAGCGATGTCACATCCATAATGAAGTTTTTACCTCAAAAATCATAATTTAAATCAAATAAAATCAGCCTTGTTTGTTCTATAGTTATCCAACTCTTATCCTTTTTAATTAGCATTGCTTCTTTTGGGTTGTGTTGTTTATTTCACCAAAGGAAATAAAACAACCTGTTCCTAAAATGCACCAGAGGCGGCTATATGAAGAGCATCTTACTAAAAAATCAACTATAAGAAAGGTCAGTAAGACTAAATCTAGTAGCTAGCAACAGCAAAGAACAATTTCAGAGTTGTTTGCAGCTGTTACACCATATTAAAAAACATCTCGAAGGCACCAGGAGATAACTAGTGCCATAACTACTGTTTGCTCTAGAGAAAAGTTTGTGTTTAATTTCTGAATATTAATACACACATTTGGATTTTTGTTGGAGTTGTCAGTTTCTTTATTTAACTAACACTCACTGCATTTTGCAAGAAGCTATGAAACAGAATATTAAGCTGAAGCTTGACTACAAAATTAAATCGCAAATCGCAAATCGCAATCGCAATATCTTTCAAAAACTTTGCTATTCGATATTTTCCCCAAATTGCACAGCCCTAGTTTCCATCAGCTGATTTTTTATGCGCATATCCTAAATGCTCATAACAATAGGTGGAGGGAAACGTAGCTATTGTTTACAGATCAACTTAATAGTGCCAATGTTGTTTTGAAGTCAGCCTTGCGTGCGATTTCAGAGCAAATATTCAAAGCAGCGTTGGAAACAATACAGAGAAGCTCATAAAAGTACATCATTATAATTAATCAGTATTAGCCTTTTAAATTTAAACTTTACTATTTTATTGAATGCCAAAGTCCGAATGTGTGAATATGAAACCAACTTGACCTCAGTTACATAGACATCTAGTAGACAGTGCTGTTGTTTTGAGACTTGTGCTGAGCTCAAAGGTCTGCGTTTGTTTCTGAATGGACAGATCAGGGAGATTCTTGCTTTGTTTTGGTGTTGTTAAGGCTGTTCTGGATGTTTTAGTTATGTTTAAAGGGACAGTTCAACTAAAAATAATTATATTCTGTCCTCGTTTACTCTCCCTTTCCTTGTTTCAAACTTGTTTGATTGTTGAAGAAAGCTGGACACCTCTAAACATCGATTTTCGTAGTATTGTTTTGTGATGGAAGTCAGTGGTATTGAGGTAAAGTTGGTTTTATATTAGGGTACTATATAGTGTGATATGATTATAATTTATCTAGATGAATTATAAAGCTAGAAATAATACTTTAGGTAGAATTTTATGATGTTTTTGCAGGGGAGAGTGTCTGAATACCATATAATATCAGCAATGAGCAACAGATAAATGAAATAAACAATGATTTTTGATTTTTATGGGAAGTCAATAAACAGGAACAGCATTAAATAATCAAATGTACATTTACATTGTATTGTTTTCTTTGTGTAAATTATTACAGTGGCGTGAAAAAGTGTTTGCCCCCTTACTGATTTCTTATTTTTTAGCTTGGTTGTCACACTTTTACTGTTTTAAATTATCACACAGATTTACAAATTAGTCAAATATAACACAAGCAAACACAGTTTTTAAATGAAGATTTATATTATTAAGGGAAAACAAAATACAAAACATAGCCCTGTGCGAAAAGCCCTCTAAATCTAATAATTGGTTGGGCCGCCCTTAGCAGCAACAATTGCAATAAAAACGTTTTTGATAACTTGCAGTCAGTTTGTTTCAGCGCTGTGGAGGAATATTATCCCACTTATCTTTGCAGATTTGTTGTAATTCAGCCATTTTGGAGGGTTTTCCAGCATGAACCTCCTTTTTAAGGTCATGCCACAGCATCTCAATTGGATTCAGGTCAGGACTTTGACTAGGCCATTCCAAAATCTTCAGTAAGATTTCAGTCAGGGGGCAAAAACACTTTTTTTACACAACTGTAAATACAGTACAGTTAATGTTTAGGCTGCACATGTTTAATCTATTATCCCCCAAATGCCTTAAATTAGCTCGAAATATAAATTAGCTTACTTATTTACAAGGGCTCTAGCTGTTCTATGTCTATTACAGAGAAACAAATTTGGTTAAAGCCTCTGACAGCAGTGAATAGGGTTTTTGAAGCTCCAGAAAGTGCACCCAAATGAAATCCACACTGGTTAATCAAGGCCTTCTGAAGCAAAGCCATGGGTTTTTATAAGAACAAATCCACATTTAAATACTATATAATCTAGTATGTGTGGCGATTGAGTCTACATTATTTAATATAACATCATTTGGATTATATACGTCTGAAAGTAGAGAGGAATATACAGCTACAGTAGGAAATATTTGATTTATTTTTTCATTTGTGGGTGTGCTGCTGTTCCTTTTCAACGATATATCTTGAAGGCAAAATTATTAGCTGCGAAATTTAAATTCTTGATCAGATATTTCCCAAGTGCTGTTTAACAGAGAGAAGGTTTTTTAGTAGTCATTTAGCAAGATATTCAGCTTTAAGTGCAATTTAAATGCTTCACTATGTTAATTAGGCAGCTGTTAATTAGGAGCTACAAACGCCTGTGTGTCAGTATAGTGGCAGATTCAAAACTCTAATAGTTGATTGCTGCTTCTCACTTAGGGCTGTTTATGCTAATGAGGGAGAGATGGTTACTAGTGGGCGGGGCTTTCCCCCTCTGATGACACGTACAAAGGGAGAATGTCAAGCAAACTGTTTCTGCAGACTGTTTTCATCAAGTCTAATTATAAATAACACAATTAATATTTTTTTTTTTTCATTTGTAGCTGGTTCTATTAAATCTATATATTTTATCTTATTTTTTCCTCATTTGTTTGAATGGTTTTCTATTGGTGGATCTCCTGTGAGTTTGATCCTGCCCTCATGCCAGTAAACACCAATCAGAGAAGAGATGCTAATGAAGAAGGAAGTCATTCAGGATTATGACTGTAGCGAATTAAGTTAATAAAATTATGAATATTATTAATTAATAATAACAAGTTAATATTTATTATGAATATTTAAATTAACTTTATCGTTATCAGTAGCAGAATTCTGTCAACAATCAACTGCCTGCAGGACTACAACTCCCATGTTTCTGTCACAGTCATCAAAATACAGCTTTGTTTGTTGTAAATGCACGCCCTCTAGTGGACAAAATCACATGCTGAGCCTTTAACTGCTTCTGTAACTAGTGACCAGTTGAATTATCAATATGTTTGTATGATCCAGCATCAAGCCCATATTGCAGATTAAGCACAGACTAGCTGCACAGAACAGGTCGTGCTGGTGCTGCTGTGGTGTGTGTGTGTGTGTGTGACGTCAGGCTTCAATGTGTGTTGATTCGGGACGCAGGTTGATGTGTGTGTGTCCTCAGACGGAGATCAGGTTTTCTCCACATTCAGCAGCTTCAAACAGTCGACTCTGCTGGATCCTGCTGGCCGGAGCACTGTCTGAAGAGAAGGTCTCTGTGTGTGTGTGTGTGTATGTGCACGCACGTGTGCGTGAGTTAGTTTGAGTTGAGTTTGTGTGTATGTGTGAGAGAAATTGCGTCTCTTAGTGTGTGTGAGTTTGTTGTGTGTGTGTGTGTGAGAGAGATAAATGTCTATTTGTGTGAGTGTGTGTGTGATGGAGGGTTGTGTG